TTAGTTAGTAGTATACACAAGTACTGGATACAATCATTAGTTAATGGAGTGGTCCATATCTCAAGTCTCCTCAGGTTTAGTGTATGCAGTTTAGCTGATGATAGTAGAGATACTGTACTATTAGTAGATGAGGATTGGAGGCCAATCTCCTTATGATTATTATTAATATTCCTAATCACTTCATTACACTGAACTGGAGATGGAGAGGTAAGGTATACCCTGTCACTGTACCAGTCCACACTCCCAGTGACGCCTAATATAAACCAAAGGATCATACTTATATACATGTATGTACATAATAATACACATATTCACATCATGTGTATATACAAACACACACAACTTGCATAAACAAATACAGACACAGCTAGTAGTTGTCACTGACTGACTGTATTATGTGAATGTGTGTGTTTGTTATAATGTATTAAGTATGTACAGAGTAAAATTGGAAGTAAAATATAAGCAAATAAACACACACAATACATGTACATATGCACATATATAGGGACAGGATTCATAAATAATAGTTATAACACAGTAAAGAGTGCTGTATGGCCAATAACAGCATGAGGGGTGGAGTCAAGACAGCCAATACAGCACTCAGTGCTTCACGCCTCATGCTGTATTGTCTGTCTCGACTCCACCCCTTGTGCTGTTATTGGCCATACAGCAACTGTGCTATAATTAATTTATTGAATATAGTGGACGCGTCAAAAGCATACGCCAAATACACTCCTAGACAAGTTTTCTTGACTCTTTAAGGTTGAGACAAAACCAATACAAATATTTAAAAGTTTCTTTCCGATGTGACGTGGACTTGACTGCCCGACGATCAATATAAGAACATCTCTGGTCGCTAAAAACAGCAAAAAAGCAGACAATGGTGGTAAAGGAGTGTTGTGAGTCTGAAAGAGCACAAAAAGCTTCTCACCCAGTGCTGCTAGCCATTGTGAAGCCAACCAACCGACACTCACTTCCGGTGCTGTATGCAATATAATGGAACAGGTAGTGCCTGTGATGTGCCCACGTAGTATACTATAACATACACACCCACACATCCATAAGGTGGCTTCACCTTATTTTGTGGAAGTAATTTTCGCGAATTGCTTGCTAACAGCACAACATGGCAATGGAGAGCAGAATTTGATGGTGAAAATTTTTTGCAACTAGTCAAAAATTGTGAATATCATGAAAGCATTTTACCACAAAAAGAAACCAGTAACAGTAGTTTAATCACAATAAGGGCTTTAATCAATTTTTTACATACACATTAACTAAAACATCAACTAATACATGACATTACATGTAAATGTTCATAAATACTGACTGTCACAATAATCACAAATATTACCTTTATCATGTTCTTCCTTGTCTTGTCTCAGTGCAGATATCATAATAGGATCAT